TCTGGACATTGCGAGAGAAAAATCACAGGTCAGGTGTGCAATGTCTCGTAAAAAGCCACCCTCGTGCAGTGATTGTCTCCAGAAATGCTCTCAAACCTACATTGTTATCTGAAGAAGGGAATTTGAGGGTGGGAGTCGAGATCAGATGCACGTTTTAAGCTTCTGCCATCTCAATATCGAGAGAGAGTGCTTTTGCTGCTGAGGATGGCGTGTTTAGTGGGTAGATTATGGACCTTAAGTATCGACAATAGATTCTCCTTTGGTCACACATATTATCTTACGTGTGTATGTGTGCCAAACAGCAACAACCTTTCCGGAGTGAGAGAGCATTATTACATTATCCCACACTAACAATCAACATAAATTATAATTTGTCTCCTCTGCAGTCATCCAACCACCCAAAGTGTGGGTGGGAGGGTATAAAATATGACGCCGTAAACTAACTTTAATACACCCATCACGAATAGAATGTGGAATCTTCGCCCCCTGGTCTTCCGAGACTCTCTCTCTCTCTCTCAAGAGAGAGGTATTGCGACAACTGTGCCATAATCGTGACTTCTAATTAATTTTGATCAGACGATAAGGGACCGTAATCTGTATTTTCTACCAGAGTCACTTCACTTGATTAGCATACCGGCTATGCTCTCATGACTCTTTGACTCCCCTGTACTCCTGATTGGGAGGAAATTCCGGGGGTGGCACTGGGCGGGATGCTTCAAGATGAATTCCAATTAAGAGTCATTTGTTTGTCAATGCGATATACCAAGAGAGCATCGCACGTCATGATTTGGGGACTTATTCCACTTTATTTGCATTCTCCACAATCGCTCCATTGCCGTGTATGACATTTTGAAGAAAAAAAAGGTAATAATTGTTGAGTGTTTTTGCCCTGTCATGTGAGCTTTTCATCGAGATTGTCTCGTGAGGGTCAGAGGTTGATGATATATGCCTGAATATTCTGTCCACGATTTATGCCAAACAATATAATTAGCATGCTCAGCATATTAAATAGTCCCTCGTGATGGGTGGAATTCCACCCACTCAAAAGGGACGATTGAGGGGGATTTTTTCCTCTGATGGCTTCCACGCCCGACAGAGAAAATGCTTCATTATCTACCCTCGTAGTTTGGCGGGAATATGATTGAGAGATAGAAGTTGTGCGACCCCTTTTGTTGCCCCTTCCCTTCCACTTCGACTTTATGGATTTGGCGCCATGGGTGGAAATAAATATTTATGCAGCAAATTGAGAGAAAAGCATCTTTTCATTGCTATTTAATAGCATCCATCCACCGCGTGTGCGGGAGCTTTTCATGGCGCAAAAGCTCCAGTGTGATATGGATTCAATTGTCGACAATCGCTGGGTGGAAATTTGAGAGAAATATTTCTCCGTGGCACATCAAAAATTCATGAGTTTTATTTTTGATAGAGCCAGAGACGATGAAAAAAGGAAGTTATCTCCGCACACGACTGCGAAATCAACAAGTTTCGTCTTGAAATTGTTGGTGTGGGCGGCTCAAATCCCCGCCAACCGGATGCGCTCCTTCGACGAGGCACTAAATTATTGATTCAATTTATTATTTAAATATCCCTCTCACGTCACTGTTGTTTGTTTGAAGTTGTTTGGAAAATTCCCTCACCATTCAACAGGAAAAGCTACAATATAATGTGTGCCTCTGAGACATTTCCACACATACTAGGAAAAAAAATCCTTCTCACTCCACCTTTTCTGATTCAATTTTTACCCTTCGTGTGTGTGTGCGTCAATTGAAATAGAAAATTGGTGACACGATTTTCCCTTTTCCCTCTGTCTCTTTCATGTTACACGATCAATTGGTTGAGATTGATTTTCCTCTCCAAGTAATGCAATACCTGATGAAAAATTCACCCTCCCATTCAATGACGAAAGACACGAATTACCCTTCTTTTGCCTGTCTCTGGAATTAGAAATGGCATCGATTGCTTCTCATTTGCTTTCGACGCTCGACTGGGTGGATCTATAAAAGACTTTCTCATCGGTTCATTCACATATTTTCGTATGGAATATTAATGAAAACCACACAGACTTTTAACTATGTAATTCCACTGCAGCTGAAACTTTTTCTCTCGCGGTGGAGTTCTTAACATCTTCACTACCCAGAAGATGATTCATGGTCGAAAGAGAGTGAATCATGTGGAAAATCCCTGAGTACTCTACAGCGTGAAAAATTCGCAAATGACTGATTAGGAGCCACCACTCTGAAGTGTGAAATAAAAACAGTGGGTCTGGGTTGGGAAATTGAGTGAAATTTCAAGTATATTCCCACCCTCTGTGGCGTGTCTCTCGCAGCATTTCAATGCAAAATAGACGAGAGTTTGGGGATCGCCGGGCACGCCAAAAAGTGAGAATTTTATGGCATTATTTTCGTGTGACGACGAGAACAACATATTTTCGTGGTGGAAAATCTCACTGAAACACGTTAAGTCGACGTGGTGGTTTGGGCGCGCTGACGCTTTTCCTTGACTCCTTTGGTGGCGATGATATCTTTATGAGTGAAAAAGAGGCACTCTCTCCACCCCGCAAAGCGGCAAAATCCTTGGGTGAAGAAAAGAAATTTACTGAACAATACTGTTTGAGTGTCACCCATCGCGCCCACTGAATAATAAATTCCATCATTCACCCGCGCGCACAACAGAAATAACACCACGAGAATAAGCTTTCTATGCATGGACTGGAGGAATTTTCCACTGCACTGTTGCTCCTGAATTGTCCATATTTTCGCAATAATTCGCATTTAATGAAATTTATTTTCCAGAGCATAAAATATTTTATTACCCGTAAAATGTTTTTCATTGTACGAAAAGATATGTATTCTATAACAGTGCAATGGAATTATTGTGATGATGCTAAACACACGAGTTCTGTATTTTCGCTTGATCATCCCATAAATTGGTTCATGGGGGAAATTGTATGGGGTTTGTTTTTTTTTGTTTGCAAAATCCTATTCAATTTGCATGAAAATTCAACAAAAAAACATTAGAGAAAAATACTTATTTCCTTATTATTGCTATTAAGATATTCTGTACAAAATTATTTCAATTTGGTCTTCTAGATAAAAACCCACATTTTTAATAATTTAAAATAAATGAAAAGGGAAATATATGTACATAATTATAGCCTATCAGTCTAGAAATTAAACGCAGTTCTAGAAATGCATTCTATTTGAAAAAGAACATACTTATATTTAAAATAGGTTAAATTGACTTTTTCAGTAAAATAAACTTTTTCTCAATACATCGCCTTAAGAAGTTTTTACGAAGTAAATTTTTGAGGTTTCTATGACAGAGAATAAAGTTGTTCACAAATAGAATAGTTTCACTGACAGACTTGGCGCAATATTAAAACATTCCCACCTTTCCAGCGCTCACAGGTCGTTGTGAGGGCGGGAAGTGAGTAATTGAATCTCAAATGCGACGGGGAGGGAGTTTGGCACACAGTTGGGGGTGGCCAAGGCAGGAAAACGCAATAATTTTTCTGTTTCACCACCCAGCGGGGGTTTGCCCAAGATTTGTCGATTCCCTGTGACACCACGCACGCTTCAGTGGGGCGCTTCCTTGGATATGATGAAATCGTAAAAGATGAAAACCATAGCCCCAAAGGGTGGGGATATGTGCGTGTTAATAAGTGCCATTAATTTTGGGGAGTCACGTTTTTATTTTAAACGCGCGCTCGCACTGGCATTCTATATTCAATTACGCATAAATCGCTTACGACTCGCATTTATTGTGTCAGTGGGAAAATTTATTGTATAATCGAGGGGTGAATGACTCAGTGCAATTAGTCATAGACGAAACAAAAATGTCTCCATAATGCTCTGCACTTCTCTATACCGCATGTGAGCAAGTCAATCTGCTGAGCCGCGCGGGAAGCACTGGGAATTTACATTTTTTCAACTGAGGAGTGTCATGCCGAATTTTAATAAATTTCACGAACAAATGGAGAATTTTAAAATTCACCCATGCGAATCATACCAGTGACAGAAGCGTTTTGTTGCGAGTATATGGCGAAACTGGGAAACAATAAATAAAGTTGTCTTGTCTGATTTTCATTTTGTCTATGTATTGCATGTGGGCTATTTCCACCCCCTTCAGCTCACCCTGGAGGTATGGCGAAATTCCCAGTTATTGAATGGTGCATGTATGGCAAAAAGCTTCCGTGAAAGCTTTCCACATATGAAATACACATAAGAGTTGGGAAAATGCTCTGGCATAGCAAAGATGTGGGATGGTTTTTTTCTGCCTTCCATATCTACTCTGTTGAGGCAATTTAGCAAACAGTGAACCATCATACACCGCAATTCTCATGCTTGCTATCTGTTGGTTTGGGGGGAATTTGGGCCAAAAGCATTCTGTCGAGGCAAAATTATTTCGTTTCTCTCTCGCTCACATTTTGAGTGGGTGATCAATTGGTGCTGATCATGAAAGTCGCCCTTTTAAGCGACTTCCACCCGCAATTTCCCTCCTCCAGTCGCTCAAGCCAATTGCTGGTGCACAGCAAAAAATCTTATTAGTGGATTATTGACTGTCTTGTGTGTTCCAACTCCGAACCTCAGTGCGTTTCGGGGGATGAGTTGGGAATTTATGGATGAAATTGCGCTCTTTCCCATCCAACTCACTGGCGGAGTGGAGAGTGAGAAAATTACCAAATTGAACATATTTATGAGAGTGGAAATGTTTTGTTTCAATCTCAATTCCAAGTCATTTCGTGTAATAGTGAGCGAGAGAATTGCCTCATTCAGCCAGAGTTGTTAGAATTGCAGATTAGGAGAAAAAATCGATTCAACATTCAGGTTGAATAACGAGCCGTAAATTGAACAGAAAGTTGTTAATTGTTAATAAAATTATGCAGATTTTGTATTATTCTACTATCCTAGAACCAACTCTGCTCATCCTCAACTATTAGAGTATTACGATCAACTCTGTCGCCACCCCACTCGAGAGGGGGTTGGTTGTTTTTCACTCACCCGCATTCTGTTGCACGTTTCGCTGACTTGTTGGTTTTGCCAACGATATATTTTCCACCCCAACAGGCCCGCCACTCATCCCACTCGCCCCAAATACTGGCGGCAGTTTTGGATACTCTGCGGATAATTTGCCCCCAATAATTTTCCTCAGCCGCGCCTCACCCAATGAGGAATTGCAGCCCGGGAATGCATGCAAAAGTTGGTGGTCTTGGCAGTGTGATTTTGGCGCATTTCGATATACCCTTTCGGGGTGCTGTTGTGACACATCCCCTGATAATAATCGATTTGGGAGGCATCCAATTTTCCCCAACATCGCAACAATTGTCCATTTGAGGGGTGGGAAATCGGCAGAGAGGTTCATTTAAAAGTCACACACAACACCGCAGAGATCAAGAGGCACGCACACAACCCTCTTGCCTTCCGTCGTAGGGATAATGCCAAGTTATATTCCCACTTTTGCCATGCTAGGCGCAATTTTATTCGTATAGCCAGAATCTTGTTACATTTTTATGGAAATTGGAAGTGTTCGCGGGATTTTAGTGCTGAAAGTGCCGGAATTTAACCGCACATATATATTTCATTGAGTTTTATTATACTTCTACCCTCTCTGATACAGGCAAGCCATCAAAATTTGCCTAATTTTCATCCTGAAAAACCCTTCAATGATAAATACAGCGACAGCTCAGCAGCAGGATTGATTGAAAAGTTCCCCTAGCAATTTGAAAAATCAATAGAATTAATTTGGAAAGCCTCATTCACGATTCAGGTCATATTTTGTTTACGTAATTACGGGAAAATTGAATTTTCCACAACTACAAACATCATCCCTAGTTTCTCAGCCATTATGACCTAACGCAATATGCTAGAGGAGTTCTGTGAAGGGCTTATCCCTACTTTTGATGGCTGGAGTGATTCAATAATTTCATTAGTTTTGCTGAAAATTACACATGAGCTGTCAATTTATGCATGAAGCATTTAACATTGTTGCTAATATTTATTGCGGAGGTGCTATTCCTTGAGCAGAAGAACAAGATGCAATTTTAATCTCTGTGGTTAATGTAGCGTGAAATTGCTGTGCAAGGAAGAACATCTCTCTGACCCTTGACCTAGATGCCATCTCAGGTGGCAAGCTGAGATTTTTTTACCATCATTAAAAGTGGTCTGAAACTCACCTCCTCTGCTGTCTGGTGATCCACAGAGTGGCGCGATTGATCCTTCCGTTGGACTCACGGGTTCCGTGGCGTCGTCTTTTTGTGGCAACTTCACACCCATGGCTGGCGATTGTTGTCGAAAGCGTCCACTATCGCTGGACTTCTGCACGGGCGACATTTGCCCCTGATGCTTCTTCACCATGTAGCAACGTGGCATTTCACAGCATAAAGCTCACACACTCACGCACTCTTGTGAACAGAAAAATAAACCGATCAGCTTAATGTAGATTTCCTTCCGCAAAACTCACAGGAGGGTTATTGCTTTCGTTGTCTTCAAATGTAGTCTTGCTGATGTCTTCCCCGTTTGTGCTCCGTCGCGTGGGGTCCTGGAGTGGCAGGTGTCCGAAGATTGGCCGGATGGCGGGCCACCGGCGCCCCGGCGAAAGTGTGATGTGGCGAGAGTCCACGCGTGAAGCCACAAGTGAGGGAAAAGGGCGACACCAGCAACAAGTAGCGCTCTCGTCGTTGACGGATGAGGGATTGTGTGTGAGAGCTCACGATGGCGGCCAAATCCACAGGTAAATGCAACAGAAGATAAACAAGTGGGGTGAGTTCACGCGGCGCCACTGACGCTCAACAGGCGTTCCGTCCGGCGGCGCCCTCTCACCACACGCGCGCCAAGCACGATGCGCGTGCGTGAGCTGTGGTGGTGTGAGTGCGACGCTCGAGGCCAGTCAATTGCCTCACAGTCGGCCCGCCGAACAGGTTAAGTATTGATCCGAGGGGGGAGTGAGAGAACTAATCACACCACCATTGGCGACACATCATCCAAAAGATGGTGGAGATTTGGTATCACGGAAGCTCAGGCCGTGCTGCAAGATGGCGCTTCCCAGGCCAGCACGACACCCCCTCTGCCCATGCTCGATGACCCCCGATGGCAATTTTCCGGGCACCGTTCGAAAAGGGACACGGAAGTGGCGCCCCTCCGGTGCTCTCCTCTCAACTGGACGCGGCAGAGAGATCACAGGAAAGCCCCCGTCTCAACACCACACTCACTGGCTTCCGGGTTCACGCGAACTGCCCTGGCCACGCAACTTGTACACCTCAATCTCAATGTCCACACGCCAAGCGGGATGTGGGAAGCACCAGAGGATGTCTTGTGTCACTCAGTTGTCCAGTAAACAAGAATAAAGTCACTAAATGTGCGTCAGATTTGACGTACCACTCCCTTCTACTGGCGACGCGGATTTTTGCTCATGGCGCTTTTAGGGGTGATGCCCACAGCGCATGTGCGCCACCCTGTGCGGGCGAGGGGCTGCTTCGGTTCACAACAAGGAACTGCATCGCCCGCTCTGGCAATACCACTTCCATGCTGCTCGGAACTTATCATCGCTTTGTAATTGTATGATGTTTCCAGAGACACATACACAAGGAGTTCCAAAAAATTCTTTATTTAAGCTTTCCGAGGAAGTAGTCTGAGATTTATAATTCCACTTATTTACTAAATCTCCGAGATATTTACGCAATTTATATTAATGTCAGCACGCAATCTCGTCAGTGAAAATTTTTATGCACTGAACAGTGTAATTTTCGCTTCACTTTTTTATTGAGAGTTTGGTGAATATTTCAATCATATCAACTGATTCCAAGGGGAAAGTCACTCGCGATTTAAGACCATTAGCTTTGTGATTATTTAATAATTTCATGATTTTTCGTGATTTCTTTCAAATTTCAAAGTAAAAAAAATTTGATATTTGAGTAAGACCATTAAGAATCCTCAAAAATCGTTTTGTGACTTGCCCCTTGACTGATTAAAAAATCGACATCGGTATAATTTGCAGTTCAATCGTATTTGTGAAGTGCAAAAAACACATGAAAACCCGATATGATTTTATTTTATAAGTAATTTATAATGGAAGGCCAAAATTGCGAACTTATCTGGAATAGTTTCCTATTTTTAAATACTTTACACTATAAAAGGGCTGTTTTAACTTTCCAGACTTTCCATTAAGATTGAAAATGAACTTTCCCTTATCGCTTAGTATAAAAGTTCTTCAGTGGATTGTGACTTAAATCTTCTCAGCATAAAATTTCCTGAGATTAATATCCTCCAGGTAGGAAATTCGTAAACTCGAAAAATGCCCAAATAAATATTTTATTCTCTGCGAGAAGAGCTTTCTCGGGAAAGCTTCTTGGAGCCATTTCATGCCACCCCCACGCGCGTGGGGGTGGTAAAGTTTCGTGTATTGGATGGAAAACTCATTTGATGCCAACACCTGTTACGTCCCCTGAGCGTCCTCACGAGGACTTATCCCTCTCAGAGTGGTGGTAGTTTCTCCCCCGGCATCCCTCGAATTCTCTGGTTTGCGGGGAGGGATTTCTTGGGAGGTGGTGATGGAAGTGAATCATAATTCAGAACGCCTGCCACATCCATAATCCACTTCCCAGGGTGTCTCCCAAGGATTTTTGCCAGGAGAAATGCCTCAAATTGACGTCTAAGAGATTTGTCTTATCTCCCCAAACTGAAATATTAAACTTTGCCATAATACGAAAGTGTACTTAAGATAAGGGACAAAGTGTGCTTAATTTTGCTGGGAGGGAAAGATGCTCTCAACTGGTGGGGTTGGGCATTAAAAGAGCCGCTCGGGGATTTTAGCATCGCCCAAAGAATATGAAATTGCACACACTTGATGCATTGCGAAAATTTTCACTTTTCCCCACTAACTGGCAATAAGTCAAATAAATTATTTTATGACTCTCAACTTTGTTGCACTCTGATAAGAAATAATTACAATGTTCCCTTGAGTGGAAGTGCAGCGCGAGAAAGTGCTCGTGTCATGAGGAAAAATTTATGGTGGGTGTGATTTGGCAGTTGGGAATTGAAGAGTCTACCCAAAGGGTGGATTTCATGGAGAGTCTGCTATTGTTCAGGGGGTGGATTATTAAAAAGTTACGGCACTGCTGTCTCAGGGGTCGTCTGCAGGAGCTCAAAGTGCTTTCACGAGTCCGAAAGCATCCTCAAGTTTGAAGAAAAATGCCGCAATATCCAGAGGAACTCTCCTGAATGTATGGAAAAACAATGATAAATTTCCATGGAAGCATTCCATATGTTGCTCCACCCTCTGCGGGTGTATTTTAAGCCCCATGGCAGGAACATATTACGGTATATATGAAATTGAGTCGCGCCTGATTTTGAAGTGCATGTGTCGCTTGCATGACTTGTTATGCAAGAGTCTCTCGCATATTCATCCCTTATCCGTTTGGCGCGGTGGAAAGCGTCAGAGATCGTCTGCTCTAAATCGCACCTGTATAAATCAATTATGTAACACCTGGCCAATAAATCTCGCAGCAGCCCAGAGCGGCCCGGGGGTGTGATTCGTGCAGTCAAAACTCACACAAAAGGGCGTCATGATCCACGGGAAAATGCGCAGCAGGTGCGGCTTTTCACATGGAGCGTCACCAAAGATCACCCTCTGAATTCTCTATGTTCAATTTATCACTGTGTCGATCCGCAGTCAATATTTCGGCCCTCCGGAAATCACATTATGCACCCACCCTCGCACACACACCCCTGAACATGCAAAGGGTGGGTGCATTGAGCTTGTGGAGCGACCCACATTTCTCCTATATGTCACTCCGGCACTAAAGAGCGCCCAGATTTTGCATGAATTTAAAGAAATGGAACTTTAAGTCTACCGAATCCTGAGCAGAAATATTAATTGGGGGTGAAGCTGAAAAAATTCCCCAATCAATTAATGAAAATAACACTGGGAGATTTCGACAAAGAGACGAAATAATGGGAAAATTTAAATGCGCATCCAAAATCTCTCTCCATTGTTTCCATTCTCTTTTACGAGCAACAATAAAATTTTATTGTGCCTTCCCCCCTTCTCACTTATGGAGACATTCAGTAAAAAGTCGCCAATTTAATTCCCCGAAAAATCTTCTCCAGACTGTGAAGTCTCCTTTGGCTTTTGCTCTTTTCTTTTTGCTGGGATTTGTGAAAAATGTGCTTTTGTCAATTTAATTTTCGTACAGCCAAAATAACTAGCGGAAAGAGCTGCCAGTGTTTACCTCGGAAAATTTTAGTTTCCGCTGCTCATTTTTCCAATAAATTTTTCTAGCAAAATTCCACCCAAACTAACATTTATCACATTCTCCTACACTGCTAAGAAAAGTTTGATGTATGTACACTGCTTCACTTCATAGTTCATAGGGGCTAAAATGTAAATTGAGACAAGGGTAAAACTGTATTGAAACGTTGAACTCTCATACGAATATCTATAAGAGAATATTTAAAGTTCAAACGATGTTCGATCATCATTAGTAGCTCGGGAAGCCGAAAAAATTGATCAAAGTTGCTTTTTTAACTGTGTCCTGCGGTTGTCCGCAGAAAAGGGGCGGCGGTAAAGGATTGGGTGCGATCGCAGCGAAATTGGCTCGATAAATGAATTAAATGGTGGCTTGAGCGTGAAAGGGAGCCCTCGGTGGGGCGGCAGAGTACACAGAAGGCGCCCACCGTCGTCTTCCGCCACCCACAGCGCCAAATGGCACGATATGGAGACTCCCTCGAAAATCGATACTCCACATGATTCACTGTGGCGATTGATGTGCTCCCCCGAGGGTGGGCGTGGGAGAGATTGTGGTTGATTGGAGAGGGGATGCAAGGGTTGATTATTGTGACAGGAAATTGATGAATGTGTCTCACAGGCTGATGGCATATAACCAGTTACTAAAGAATTCAGTAATTAACTCAAACATGCATGCGCTTCGGTGACTAATTGAAAATGGGGTAACTACAGGTAATTCCAGTATACTTCCTGGTCCATTCATTTTTAATGTTCCACGTGCTCCTCGGGCACTTTTTACCTCCCCACCAGCAAATCATGTCATTGATTGTTTTACTAGAAGTTCAAAGTACTTTAAGGCTGGCTGGATGGTGAGGTTTGAAAGGATGCCCCATGATGACAATTTCTCCACTGCGCGGAGAAACTTCCCTCCAGAGGATTAATAAGTAATTGAAGATGGCAGAGTTGCGAGGCAAAGTCAATTACCTCTGGAGAAGTCAACGTGGGTTGACGTATTTAAAGATCCCGGGTTTTAGGCACGAGTCTTGAATGTTTCACCTGCTCAATCATCAATTTTTCCACAAGAGAGTCTTTGATGTTTCCAACAGATAATTCAACTGATTGGCTACATTAGTCAACTTGTTGGATG